TCTTGAGAAAAAGTCATCACACATTATTCTATAGAAACTTTTTTTAATTATAAAAAATGTAGATATAATGATGTAACAACGAATGACTTTTTTCTATCGTTTTGAAATAAAAAAAAAATGACTTTTATAAATAATATAATATTAATTTCACAACTAACAAGATCAATACTCTAGCAGACGAATGACTTTTATAAATAATATAATAGTAATAATTTGACAACTAACAAGAATGTTCTTTTATAAATAATATAATAATAGTAATTTGACAACTAACAAGAACAAAAACAAAAAGATGCATTGCGTGTCCTCCCTCTATAAAACCAGATACAAATCCTCACCTTATTCACACAAACCCAAAACATTTACATATGTATATATACACAGCTCCTTTCACACGCTTATATTTCGACTTAAGCCTTTCGGGGATACGAATGGGCTACAAGGTAGCATTCGCATGCCTCATCACGGCTTGTCTCGTGCTCATCGTGTTCCTGGAGAGGTCGATGATGTGGCAGGTGATTGTAGCGTTTATAATGGTGACTTTTAAGAAGTGCCATAATGGAAAAGCGCCCGTGTTATTTGTGCTTTTTTTTTCTCTTCTCTCACATTAGTTTCTCGATTGCCACATCATCCACCTCTCCAAGGAACACGACGAGCACGAGACAAGCCATGATGTGGCATTTGAAAGTTACTTTGGAGTCCATTCGTGTCCCGATAAGGCTAAAATCGAAATATAGGCGTGTGAAAGGAGACTGAGTATATATATAGAGAGAAGGAATCATATGAGATAAAAAATAAGAATGATTTTGTACCATTAGATCTAACATATCAATGTTTATGATAGAGTCAAATATTAATAATTAAAGTCAAACTCATTAAAGGTAATTTAGTCATTTGACATTCATTAAGGACAATATAGTAATTTCAAATAGCACCCACCTATGACCTACCCTACCTACTTTTCACTCTCTTTCACATAAATTCACACACACACACACACACACACCATATTTTTTCTCCACAACTCACGCACACACACAGATAACACACACAGTACACACACACCCCTCCAACAGCCTTCCTCCTCCTGCCGCCCATTCTCCGCCTCCGACACGACCGCCGCCGCAGACAGCAGCAGCCCGCCGTCGGCCCCGCCACAGTCACCATCCCCAACCCTCGCCACCGAACCTAACACCGTCACCATTGACAGGCCATCGGTAAAATCCGGCGCTAACCGCACGAAATCCGCCGTCATTGACCTGTCGACGGCCAAATCCGTGAATCAGGCGGCGGTTCTCTCCACCAATCTCTCCTCCGACGTCAATGGCCTGCGATTCCGGCGGACAAATTGTTGCCTCCTTCACGTTCCGGGGCGCGCAACCATCAAAGCTCTTCAACTTCCTTTTCTTCCCGCGCGCCTCCTCGTATGGAATTCGCCTCCGCCGGCGGTGGCGGCGCTTCAGTGGCAAGGAGATTTCATCAGTACTGAATCGAGGGATTTTTTATCTAGTTTTGGATCTTGGACTGTGATTCAATAGACAATTTATTTTTCATTGTCGTGTACCGATCTAGTTTGGATCTTAGATTCGGATTTCTGATGGTGCACACATGTTAAGTGTTGTTATTGTTTTGGATTTTGGAATAGGTTGGGGCTGTATTAAATTATCAGAGCTTGTTTTGTAATTTGGGCCTAACATTTGAGAATTTGACAAGTCTAAGGGACTTAAGTACAATTTCAGAAATCTTTGATATATTTTTATTTGATTTATGTGTTAAATATGTAATTTATTAAAAATTTAATAATTGGTCGTTATTGTTCAAAGCATTGCACAGTACTGTTCACTTCAATGCACATTACGGTCCAATTAATCGCACATTACAGTACAGTTCATTGCATAATAATAATAAATAAAATGCACATTGTTTTTTGTATATATACACTATAATTCAAAAAATTACAAAATTTATCAACATGCTGCATAATACACAATACTGAAAAAAATAAAATATTATTTGATAAATATACATTATAAATTGAATGAAATATTATTTAAAAGTAAGTTTTTTTTTTAGTTATTTGAAAAAATAATGCCGACCTCGAATTGAAATAATCGTGATTTTATAAGTAAAAATAAATTATCGAACCGAAAAAATTAGTTCAATTGATTAACTGCAATTCGATAGTCATTAATGTGCAGTTCATCCACCCGTATAGTTCACTTACCGTGCATATACCCAAACTAAAATCGAATTTAAATAATCGGTAACCAGAATATTATAAATAACATAAATAACATAATATTTAAATTATAAAAAAAAATATATTTAGCATTTTTAATTTTATATTTAATATTTTATATTTTTCAATATGAAAATAAATAATTTTATATAGTTTGTCGGTTTGATTATTTCGGTTATTTTAAAAATATAATGAACATATTGATCTGATATAATTGATATTTTTACAAGTAAAAATAGATAATCGACTCAAAATATATGATCTCGAAACAAAATTGTTAGTTCATTCAATTTCAGTCATTATGTGCAATTCGTCTAACATTATGGTGCAACTTGGTAGTCGTTAAAGTGCAATTCGTCTAACACTATTGTGCAGTCGCGGTGTATTTATTATTTGTTATTACAAAAGTATATTTATTACTTTAATATTTTTATATATCAAAATTTTACATATTAAAATTTTTTTAACAGTGTACACTTTATTTATCATTAATATGCATTTATGAGATATTTCTATATTCGAAACGAAATCTTTAGTTCATTTAGTTTCGGTCATTATGTGCAATTCGTTTAACATTATGTTGCAACTTGGTAGTCGTTAAAGTGCAATTCGTCTATTACTATTGTGCCGTTGTAGTAAAAAGTATATTTATTATTTTAATCTTTTTATTTATTAAAATTTTACATACTAAAATTTTTAAACATTGTACACTTCATTTATCATTAATATGTATTTATGAGATATTTCTATAAATTAAATATTTGGTCGTGAACTAAATTAAAAAAATACTAAAAATTAATAAAATTATAAAATTGCACTATCTAATTTAAAAAAAAAAATCAATGAAACCCAAATCCCTAATTTGAATTTCCAAATTGAGTACACATTTATTAAATTTTTCTAAAAATTACACAGGCACATGCACCAAATTGGAATACATTCAATCTTCATTTATTTGCAAATTTAGCCCATGGACTAAATTGAAATATAAAACAAATATGGAAAGTATAATTTAGTCCCTATAAAATATCAAATTCTCAATCCCAAGGCCCCCACCCAAAATCAATATCCACATCTTTGACGTCACCACTCGCCGGGAGAAAGATCACTTTGCCGTCCGGATCACACCGCCGCGACGCTGGATAACCGGATCTCTGCAACGACTCCGGCGAGTACCCTGCTGATCGTGGTCACCGGCGAGAATGGATCTGCTGGCCGTGGTCACCATTGTCCTCACATCTCGCCGTCACCAGTGCACTAACCCAAGAAAACCTCTCGTCGGAAGAGAGATGAAGGAAGACGCGGCGGGTTTGGAGCGGTGGTCATGGGTGGCGGATGTCGGGTTGATGAAGGAAAATGCGGCGGGACTGAAGCGGTGGTCATGGGTGGTGGACGTCGGAGCCAGCTCTGTGACGGGAATCTAACTTGCCGGCGGCGTTGGAGCGGCGGATGATAGAGAAGTCGGAAGTCGGCAGAGGTGACCCTCGGTCGGCGGTGCAGGGGGCAGAGCCGCCATGGATTGGCCGGCGGGGACGAGAATCGCGTGTACAGCGGCAGAAGTAGTGCGGTGGAGCGACGAAAATGGCGTCGGCGGCAGTGAGTCCCCGTTTGTGTGTGTGTATGTGTGTGTGTGTGTGAGAGAGAGAGAGAGAGAGAGAGAGAGAGAGAGAGAGAGTTACTTGGGGAAGAGAGAGCGACGTTCAGCTGGTGGGAGAGAGAGATGCGTACAGCTGGTTTGTTAAATGTGTAGATGTGGGTGGGCCCAACTGGGTGGTTGATCGAAGAAAGACTACTTTACCCTTAATCTGTTGAAAAATCTGACCTTTTTTAGCCGTTGGATGATTAGATTATGTGGCTAAGATTTATTCTAATTTCTTTCATTGAGCACCATTCTCACCGGAGCGCGACCCTATATATATATAGAGAGAGAAAGGATTATATGAGAATGGTTCTTAGTGAAAGAAATAAGAATGAATTTAATCCACTGGATTCATCAAATCAATGGTAATGATCAAGTCACACTTTGGTCAATCATTAATGGCAATATGGTAAATTAACACACATTATGGTCAATTGTATACATTTGACCAATTATTAAGAGTATTCTAGTCATTATACATCAACCCAACTCATAGTGTGGGACCTACCTGATGAAGATCGTGTATCGGAACTCGATTTTGTGTAAGAACCCGCGCTAAGGGCCTTGGTTCGAACACGACAAATGTGAAAACCCGCACTACGGCCGTCGGTTTAACACGAGAATTTGCGCTCGAAGACGAGCTTTTTCTGTTTATGTTATTGCTTAAAGATGATATTCAACCTAATACAAGAGTTCTATTAATACTCTCCTACCTATCCATATACGGTTTTCAAAAGAAAAGAATTTAAAAAATAATATAAATTAAGAAAACTGATGAAAAACTGCTGCAAACTGCCCCATAACCACCCTCTTTCCGCAGGTGTCGCGACGCGATGGTCTCCACGACGCGGAGGCTGCGTCTATTAAAGTCTGTGATGGCCTGTTACGAACGTCACGGCGTGGGGAAAAGGAGTCGCCACGACGCGGCAGATCTTCACGGCGTGGCAACCTGGGTTGGACCATTCTCTGTTGGTCTATTTTCCTCGTGAGACTTTGCCCGGTTTGTCGGTTCTCATCATTCCCGACCCCTTCATGATTATCCTTGTCCTCAAGGATAAAAATTAAAAATTGTTCAAGAACCTAGTTTTGCATGTTTTCCTTATTCTTGCTCGTTTTTCCAAGTCAACGGGACCACGCCTCTCGTACACAACCATGCTTCGCCATCGTCATCTTTCCAATCCGGCGTGACCAAGCCACCCTCCGTCCATAATAGTTCAAATCACGGATGACCGGAACCTTGAATTTGTTAAATAGCTGTGACCGCATATTCTCACTAAAATATGTTGTTTCATATCCTTTATGGTTCCCATTGAACATTTGAAATACCCCCAGCCAAGAGCTTTAAACACACAAATAACCGCTGCACTCTCTTTCACTTTCAACACCTTTTTCATTCACTATGATAGACTGGACATCAAACAAAGGAAGGGTAGCAAAGCCTGGTTTATGAGGCCAAGCACCATATTCATCCATCTCATGAGTCTCGTCATAAAAAATAGGAGGTCCTTCGTAGTCAGTTGATACCTCGTTCACAAACTCGGCGACTTCCATGTCCCCATGGTATTCGAGAATCTCGAACAGGAAACTTGACTCCCAACATTGATCCTCGACGAACCGACTCTCTTTCTGCTGGTTCGACTCCCTTGTTCGGTTGTGTTTTTCATCCTTCTCTTTGACCTCCATGTACGACTCGTTCTCACGGTCCTCTTCGACTTCGACCCACTTCTCCTCCTTGACCTCGTCTACCTCGACCAAAATTTCCTCCTTGACCTCGGTTATCTCGGCCTCTTCGACGTCCACAAATGTGTCATCATCGAGGTACACGTCGAAAATAGGCGGGCCTAAGTAATTGCTCGAAACTTCCTCGTCCATGAGCTCGTCGTCGAACAAAGGTGGATTGTTGAGCTCGGTTTGGTCGTCCACAAACATGGCAATCTCTAAATACTTCCTTTCATGTAGCTCCCCCAAATACCTCCTTTCGTACGGAGTCAATCGCCTCTCCAACCCTTCTAAGATTGCGAGATCCTCCCACTCCATCTCGTCCAACTTTTC